AAAAAAAAAAAAAAAAAAAAAATACAAGAAAGGGACTTTCTTAGAGTGTGGACATTTTCAGACAATAGTCATAAGACCAAGGGGAGGCTCATTGTAATCAAAGTTGCACTTTGTATGTTGCTACTTCCTAAAATAATGTGGAACTAATGTATCTAAGCAACCTACTTCCTGTTCATTGAGTTACAAGCCACCTAAAATCAGGACAGACCAGTTCTCTGCTCCAGGAGGAAACGGTTTCATTTAAATCCGGAGCCCTACACTAATACTTTCAGAGGGACCTGAAATAAGATGTCACCCCTGCCTGGAGCTCCCCGGTGCACCTTCTGCTACGCTTTGCAAGGTCTCTGGGTCCAGTCTTCATTGGTTTTAGCCACAGGCTTTCTCTAGTCATGTGACATACACCGTCTTTACCATAAGATTTCTTTGGTTTAAGAAATCTTACTGGTGGTATAATACCATTTCTTTCTTTGGTGCATTTGAGGACTTAAAAAAAAGAGAGAAAGATTATTCTTTAGGCTGTGACTCTACCTCTAAACCACCTCCCTCAGACTCTGAAAATCAATAAGCGTTTACAACACTTGTGTTTGCATCACAAGGACTCAGATTGGACACAGTGCCCGGGTGCCCTTGTAAAACTACCCCATTTATTTTGGACCGACCGACTTCACACATGGTCTGTGCTAGGTACTGGATCTGTGTTACACACAAAAGGGTCTCAGTTATAAACAAGGGTCTCCGTTTTATTTCATCTGTCAAATGGAGATAATATTATTTACCTTGGGACACAGGTTTGCTGCAGAAATTAAGTGGGAGGGGAAATAGAGATGAATAGGGTTACACAGTACGGTTTATTGATCATCCAAAGTTATTAATTTAAAAGCATCTTGGGATGGGGGCGCAGGGGGGATACCCTGGTAATAGATGAAGCTGGAAATCAGGAGACCGAATAGGAAGTCACAGCAGTTGCCTGTGGTGAGTTGAGAAACCTTGGGCAGGCTGCTTTTCTTCTTGGTTATTCCTATGAGTACATGTGTCACCGCCAAAACTTCTGATTGCATGAAAACCTGGGGCTATGCTGGAAAAAATAGAGGGGAGAATGGATGAAGGAAACTTCCTAAGTCCAGAAACAGTAGGCCGGGTGGTTTTTCTCCCTTGACATGAGCTTCCCAAACAGGCTTTCTGATGGCTTGGGCCCAGGCCACTGTAATCTGCCCACTTCATGGGCACCAGAGGAGGTAAAGACTTGAAAGCCTACAGAGTACTTTTCCCTGCAGGCTGATCGCCTGGGTCAGGTGGTGGAACCAGCAAGAACCAGGAACTGAACTCCGTCTCCCGTAATTGCTGTTTACAGTCTGGTGACAGGTTCTTTCCATAACATGTTTAAACCAAGCCAAGGAGAGGCTTCTCCCAGGGTTATTTCTATTTGCATGTCTCCTTCTGTGCCCTGGGTCGCTGGCACGTCTCCAAGACAGTTCTTTTGCACTGTGTATGAATTAATGTCACAATTTGGGGCTGGGAAAGACTTCCCTCTAGAGATTCTCTGAAATCATCTTCAGGATTCTATTCTTGCCTTTACTCCATAATTTAAACCTGGAGACCTGCCAGTCCCTGACATTGTGATAGGAACTCACCAAATTTATCTTGGTTTTATATATCAGGATTAATTTGTTTTCCCAGAGCCCCTCCCTCAATTTGCCTACATCTCCTCATTTCTCAGACTCCCCTTCCCCCCTTTCTCATCCAGAAAGATACTTGAACTTGAGGGCGAAGGGGAAATCTTCCAAATCTTACATATTACATACATTTCACACATAAACAATTACCTCTTAAAAGGGCATTTACCTGGGAAATTACTCTGACTGCTCACTTTATACATTTGCATACACAGAATTTTAGACACAGTGTATAATTTTTATTCATTAAAATTCAGAGGTTTTTTTACATTTTAATTACATGACTTTCCAATGACTGCTCTACGTGTTAAAGGATATCTTCCACCATTTTAAAGTACACATATGTTCCTTCACATGAATCTTATCTATTTTAATTAATATGACTTTATTTCCCCAGGACCTCAAAGAAAAATAAAATTTCAAATGGGAAGGCTCACTGTTTGATGTATCTTATAAGTTTAGTACGTGTAAATTTACCCCTCAGATTTTTTATAAACACTCTCAGTGCATAAGCCTCCTTTCTAATAAATATAGTTCTGGGTTTTGGGGGGTGTTTTTTTAAAGCATGATTGGCTTTTCTCAGATGGAGGACACAATGGATCTTGGGATTGTCCTTTCTCCATCACCTGTTGGGTCAGGTAGTGTAGACATACAACTTACAGACGTGCGAGCTGACTTCACGTGGACTCCTCCACATAGCCTGGGCCGTGCTGGACTCTGGGAGGTATTTAAACAGTCCTCAGGAGTGTAGCACATGGAACATCTGGTTGACCCAAGGGGTGTGGTTATTTGGCTGCCACAAAATGAAAGTTTTACTGTATTTTAAGAACCTTAGAATTGAGTTTAAATTTCTGGTTTAATATTTGTTGCAACTTGCACTATAGGAAAAAGACCTGGGCTCTAAGTTGTGGCTTTGTGACCACATGCGTGATCTTGTCCAACAAGTGTTCTCAGGAAATGAAAAGACCCCTAGAGGCCTACGAACTTTGAACCCTCCCTGATCCTGTGCTGTGGGTGAGATTTGTGCAGACGAGCTTGCCTGCATGGGTCCAGGTTATCAGCAGGCTGTGCTTTGATCCTTCCACCTCACGTGACACCTGAATTGCTGCTCCTTGAGCCTGGAGATAACTTCTCGGAAGGGACTGCGCCAGCCTCTCCCATCAGCTCTGCTCTCTGCATTTCAGATCCCTGGGGCAGGTGAGTCCCAAGATTCGTGTGGCTCCGAGGATTCCAAGGGACACATGGAAAGTCCCAAACAGGGCAGCAGTAAAATGAAGCTCAAAAGTCGTCTTTCGGGTAAGTGGAGCTCTTTGCCTGATACAGTCTTTCTGAAAATGAGCTTCCAGCCTCAGGAGTGGGAATATATAATCATTAGCAGGGTGAGCTTTTTTTTCCCTTAAAACCTCAAAATTGTTTTTCCTTTCCTTTTTTTAAAAATGTATTGGTTTTGAGAGAGAAACATCAACTTGTTGTTCCACTTATTTATGCATTCATTGGTTGATTTTTTCATGTGCCCTGACCGGCGATCAAACCCCCAAACTTGGTGTAACAGGATGACACTGTTAACTAATTGAGCTGCCCGGCCAGAGCCAAAATTATTTTTCCTTTAGATAGTGCATGTCCCAGGCATAAAACTGCATTTAGCCTTGTTTCCCTCGTGAATATTTTTGAGTCATAATGAAGTGAATGTCAACATCCCTGTTTGATGAAATTTAAATTTCCTGTGTACTTGGTTCATTTACTTCAGTAGGACTTCCGGTGACCCTTTCAGGGCGGAATATCCCTGGTGGCCTGTTTCCCAGCAAACATACCTCTCCCCCAAGCCCTTGGTCCACCAGAACCAGGGGCAAAGAGCTATTTATATAATATCAAATCTGCATTTCAACTAGATGGGGGTGGGGGTGAGATGGAGTTACAGATTTGACATTTCCTGGGCACATCCTTTAGCACCTGGCCTGTGCCCTGAGACATAAGTTAGTGTTGGAAGCAGAGGCTGTCTGCTGGGACCCCATGAACTCCATGGGTCCCAGGAACTTTTGCCTTGACAGGCTCTTTCCTCTACTAAAAATATACTAAAAATTATGTCTTAGGACTGCATTGGTACAGAGTTACAAGCTGGACTCGTTATTAACTATTCATTACTATTTTTTTTCCTTCTGATTTTAAAAGAAATTAAAACACTTTTATGGGCCCCTAAAAGTGGTGTAGGCCCCCAGCACTGTGTCTGTGGCCGGAAGGAGAAGTCAGTCCTGGCTACCCATCCACGCAAGACACCTGGTATAGCAGGAAAAATAAGAGTTTGGAAGCTCGGCAGAACCAAGCTCACCCTTCAGCCCTTGAGTTACCTTATGACCTACTGCTGGTCATTTAGCGTCCCTGAACTTGCACTCCCTCGCCTGAAAAAGGGAGATGATGACACTGACTTTGAAAGGCTGAGCAGATTTTTAAAAATAATAATAATAAACTCACATGAAAGCAGCTAGCACAAAGCATGTATGTTAACACCCCAAAAACGTCAGTTTCCTCTTCCTGCCACTCAAATCTGTGCCTGTCAACCAAGAACATCCCCCGCCCCACTGCCTGGCCCTCTGCCGAGTTATTTTCGGGTGAGGTGGCAGGTCTAGGGCCATGCAATACATCGCTGTTCTTTGAGTAACAAAAAGGATTACTGTGTAAGTTAGAATAATGAGGTGGTATATATCCGAGCAAACGCTAGAATGTGGGTTTGTGACAAGGAAAGTGTGAGGACTAGAGTCTGATGAATCTAAAGAGAGACATCGTGCCAAAGCTCCTCACGTGGAGAGAAAGACCAGCAGCCCGGGAACGACTACAAAAAATACATTTAAATCCCGTGTGTGTTTGGACTGGAAGTCACGGGCAGAGAGGACATCTGTAGGTCGGCTCTCTTGGCAGAGTTGGTCAACACCTTGTAAACGGTTCCCAGGGGAGGGCCACAGGGCGCTGGGAAAATATGAGGGACCTTTGAAACCAGTGCAGTCACGTTCCTCATTTTATGGGTGAGACCAGAGAAGTTAAGGGAATCCTAAAGGTCACTCGTTCAGCGCCCCCAAACAGATCTGCCTCCCAGACAGAGTCCTCCCCCTACCCC